AAAAAAGCTGGGCACCTGTAATCCTAGCTACTCAGGAGGTTGAGATCTGAGGATCGCGGTTCAAAGCCAGTCCAGGCAAGAAAGTCCATGAGACCTTTATCTCCAATAAACCACCAGAAAACTGGAAGTGGCACTGTTGCTTAAGTGCTAGCCTTGAGCTGAAGAACTGAGGGACAGCGCTCAGGCCCAGAGTTCAAGCCCCATGATTGACAAAAAAAAGGCAATAGACACGATTTGGAAGAGTACACACACATACCCCCCCACCCCCACCCATACACACACAATCACTGCAGACTACTAATCAAAGTCTGACACTTCCACTATGGTTGACAGAATCCTTTCCAGCTGAAAAACCAATATCTCTTTCTATTCTATTTCCTTTATGCTGAGACTCACTCTCACACCTTTTTATTGGGCTCAGACAGATTAGTCAGAGTCACAGTAGATCTGAATGATAAAGCAAAGTACATCTGACAATTACAAGCTGCTATACTAAATTCACTGAAATGCACGCCTTCCTCAGGACCCTCACTATCAAGCAATGCCACTTGAAACTCCACTTTTTGCAAAGGAAGGTGGAATAGAGAATACAGATCCTGTCAAGGTAGCAATAGAAATTTTCTTCTAATTTTTACATAGAAGAGACAGAAAACAGCTTAAATTAAATCAGTCTTCATAATCAGAATTCTAGGCCAGAGGTTCAGCTATAGGGCTTCAGTTTTTTGGGTCTAGCCGCTTCTCCAATATGTCAAATGAAGAGTCTAGTAGAGCATACGGCAGAGAAAGATTGACTATGGAACACGGGCATTTCACACCAGGGAAGAATCAAAGTATGCTTTTCAGCCCATCTCCTAGGGTCAGACATGAGCTTTAGGTTTCAATAGAGCAAATGCAGTAGAGGGAGGGAAGTGTAAATAAGTAAACGGTCCCACTTAATGTGTGGCCTGGTTCATCATTATTTTAGTCTGCCAGAAGTTTCCAATAAAGCTGTTACTTCTGTCATGACTGGGGTGGGGGTGGGGAAATTTGATTCCAATGGGATGATTACTTCTTAGTGCAACCACCTCATCACAAATAATTGTCTTTATTTGAGGGTGCTCCAAACTGTAATAGTATCCAACGAATCTCATTATAAAGATTTAAAAGCCTAACCAACTGAACAAACACAAGACAAGAATAAGGTTATAGGAAGCCTTGTTAACAATTACACTGGTCAATAAAAGTAGCACAGGTTGTTAATTGATCCTTTCATTTGTGTTCTGTATTACAGGTGAGATCAGGTTACTACAGGACTGCCAGAGTGAACTTATTTATTATGTCGTTCAAAACTGGACTGTGTGAGAGGTGTGGCTTCTATTCTTTTAACCTTGAATTCTCAGGAGGTCACTTAAATACCTTAGTTTCAACTTTGTGATAAGTAACTTTGCTATACATAAGGTCACAATTTGATTATTGTTTTGACCTGGTCATTGATGGCCTAGTGAGAGCTTAATCAAAAATGATAACTTCTGTTTTTATATATGTTTTTCATTTTTTATTGTAAATATACTGTACAGAGGGGTTATATGAGCAAGGTAATGAGTACATTACAAGCATTGTTACCTCCTCCTTTGTTTTTCCTCCACCCACTCTTCCCTCCCATCTCCACAACTACATCTCCCCATCCCCCCAACCCCCCCCTAAATTGTAAAGTTCGTTTTTCAACATAGTATCTTCTTCATCTCATTGTTACAATGGGTCAACCGGTATCCTTATTTAAGCATTTGTTTTTTTTCCTTCCCCTCCCCAAATTAGAAAAGGGTATATACAAGATGCAGGGCACTGACATCACATACAGTGAAAACAGGGGTTATACCATGGGGGAGGAACATACAAAGAAACAAAAAATCACAAGGTACATTATAAATACGCTAGAAACAATAATAAAAAAAAACACTTGTCACTATTGTGGGGTCCATTTTGCTAAACCTCATCTTATCTGGTCATATGTACATAGCTTTTGACCTTTTCTTCTTGTCCCAGACCTACAATAGTTATTGCAAATAAGGGAAATCATGGGACCTATGTTTCTTTGGGCTTGGCTTACTTCACTTAAAATAAATTTTTCCAAGTCTTTCCATTTCCTAACAAATGGGGCAATCTCATTCTTTCTGATGGAGGTATAGAATATATATATATGGATCAAGAAAATGTGATATATATATATATATCACATTTTCCTGAGGGGCATCTGGGTTGGTTCCATATCTTAGCTATGGCAAATAATGCTGCAATAAATATAGTTGTGCTGGTAGCTTTAGTATGATCTTGTTTGTGATCATTTGAGTAAATGCCCAAAAGTGAGATTGCTGGATCATAGGGGAGCTCTATGTGGAGTCTTCTAAGGAACCTCCATACTGCTTTCCAAAGTGGTTGAACAAGTTTACACTCCCACCAACAATGAAGTAGGGTTCCCTTCTAGCCACATCCCCTCCAGCATCTGTTGTTATTAGAGTTCTTGATTATAGCCATTCTAACTGGAGTGAGGTGGAATCTCAATGTTGTTTTGATTTGCATTTTTTTATGGCTCGAGAGGTTGAGCATTTCTTCATGTATCTATTGGCCATTGTTATATCCTCTTCAGAGAAGTTTCTCCGTAAGTCTTTAGTCCACTTATTTATCAGGTAGTTGTTTCTTTGAGGATTTGTTGTTGGGGGATTTAATTTTTTGAGTTCCAAATATATTTTAGATATGAGACCCTTGTCCGTTGTATGGCTAGTGAAGATCTTCTCCCAATCCATGGGCTTTGATCTTGCTAGCTATGTCCTTTGCCATGCAGAAGCTCTGCAACGTCATGCAATCCCATTTGTCCAACCTTTCTTTGATTTGTTGTGTTTCTGGGTCTCTATTAAGAAAATTTTGGCCTGTGCCAAGGAGACCTAGGGTTTCTCCTATTCCTTCCTGTAATGTTTTTAGGGTGTCTGCTTTGACTCCCTAATGGTCTTTGTCCCTTTGGAGTTGATTCTGGTGTAGAGTGATATATAAGCATCTACATTTAGTTTTCTACAGGTGATTAGCCAATATTGCCCGCACCATTTACCGAAGAAGCTGTATTCTTTCATTCTATTTTTTAGCTCCCTTATCAAAGATTAGGTGGCTATAGGTCTGTGGGTTCATTTCTAGGTTTTCAATTCTATTCCATTGATCTTCAAGTCTGTTCTTGTGCCAGTACCAAGCTGTTTTGATTACTATGGTTTTGTAATAGAGTTTGCAATTTGGTATTGATATTACTCCAGCACAATTCTTTTTATTAAGTATCCTTTTTGCTATTCAGGGTCTTTTATTGTTCCATATGAATTTTGGATTGCTTCTTCTATTTCATTGAAGAATGAGGTTGCAATATTGATAGGTATCACATTGAATTTGTAGATAGCCTTGGGAAGAATTGTCATTTTCACAATGTTGAACCTTCTGATCCAGGAGCATGGGAGGTTTTTCCACTTCCTAGGTTCTGCTCTGATTTCCTTTTTCAGGTTTTTAAATTTTTCATCTTAGAGGTCCTTCACTTCTTTAGTTAATTCAATTCCTAGGTATTTTATTTTTTGTGGAGCTATTACAAAAGGAGTTGCTTTCCTGATTTGAACTGCACTCTTCTCATTGTTGGCATACAGAAAAGCCATTAATTTTTTATGGTTAATTTTATACCCTGCTACTTTGCCAAAGTTTCGAATCAGCTTGAGTAATCTGGGAGTGGAGTCCGTGGAATTCTTTAAATATAAGATAATATCATCTGCAAAGAGGGGGAGTTTTACTTCAGCTTTCCCTATTTGGATCCCCTTTACGTTTGCATCTTGTCTTATTGCTATAGGTAGACATTCTAATACTAAATTGAAGACAAGTGGAGAGAGTGGATATCCTTGTCTCTTTCCTGAGCTTAGAGGAAATAGCTTTAGTTTTTCATCACTAAGTATAATGCTGGCTATAGGTTTGTCATATATAGCCTTTACTGTATTGAGGAATGTTCCATGGATTCCTAGTTTTTCCAGAGCCTTCATCATAAAGGAGTGTTGGATCTTGTCAAATGTTTTACTGCATCTATTGAGATAACCATGTGGTTCTTATCCTTGCTCTTGTTGATGTGATGAATTATGTCAATTGATTTGTGTATACTGAACCAGCTTTGCATCCCTGAAATGAATTCTGTTTGATCATGGTATCTGTTTTTTTGGATGAATTGTTGAAGTCGACTGGCCAAAATTTTGTTGAGAAGTTTTCCATCGATGTTCAGCAAAGAAATGGGTCTATAGTTCTCTTTCTTTGAGTCCCTGCCTGGTTTTAGGATGAGGGTTATGATGGCTTCATAGAAAGAGTTCAGTAGTAAACTTTCTCTTTCAGTTTCATTGGAGGAGTATTGGTGTGAGTTCTGCTTTGAGGGCCTTATACAATTCCGATGTAAATTCATCCTGTCCTGGGCTTTTCTTAGATGAGAGGTCTCTTATTGCTGTTTGTATTTCAATGCTTGATATGGGCCTGTTAAGATGGTTTAACTCATCTTGGTTTAGTTTCAGCATGTCGATATTTGCTAGGAAAAGGTCCATTTCTGCCAAGTTCTCAAACTTATTAGCATAAAGGTTTGAAAAATATTCCCTTATAATGTTCTGAATCTTGGTTGTTTCTGTGGTGATGTTTCCATCTTCATCTCTGAGTTTGTTTATTTGTGTGTGTTCTCTTTTTCTGATAAGATTTGCTAAAGGCCTGTCATTTTGTTAACTTTTTCGAAGAACCAACTCCGATTTGTTGATTCTTTTTATGGTTTTTTTTAAAATTCTAACTCATTTAATTCTGATTTAATATTAATTATTTCTATCCATCTAATGGATTGGGATTTTAGCTTGGTGCTCTTTTTCAAGGAGCTTCAGGTGCCTCAATAGATTGTTGGTTTCAGATCTCTCCAATTTGTTGATGTAGGAACTCAGAGCTATAAACTTGCCTCTGAGTATTGTCTTTGCTGTGTCTCAGAGGAGCTGGTAATTTGTGTGTTCATTTTTGTTGAATATCATGAACATTTGAATTTCCTTTCTAATTTCTTCCTTGACCCACTGGTGATTCAACAGTGTGTTGTTCAGCCTCCAGGTGTTACAAAACTTTCTTTGGTGGCTTTTGGTGTTGAGTTCTAATTTTATTCCCTTGTCTGAGAGAATGCAGGGCATAACTTCAATGTTTCTGAATTTGGACAAGTTTGTTTTGTGACCTAAAATGTGGTCTATTTTGGAAAATGTTCCATGTGCTTGTGAGAAGATCATGTATTCTGATGCTGCTGGGTGAAATATTCAATAGATTTCTGTTAAATCTAGTTGATGTATGCACTTGTTTAGATCTGCGGTTTCTCTGTTGAGTTTTTGCTGGATTGATCTATTTAGTGGGGATAGTGATGTGTTAAAACCCTGAAAATTAGTGTCTTTGGATCTATGTGAGATTGAGGAAAAGTAGTGTTTCTTGGATAAATTTGGGTGCTCTCATTGTTTGGTTAATAGATATTTAGAATTGTAATATCCTCCTGAAGGAGAGATCCCTTAATTAATATGTATTGACCTTCTTTATTTCTTCTCACTAATTTTAATTTGAAGTCTATTTTATCTGATATTAGGATTGCAACTCCTGCCTGTTTATGGGGGCCCTTTCCTTGGTATATTTTATTCCAGCCTTTTACTTTCAAAATATGTTTATTTTTATGGGAAATGTGTGACTCTTAAAGGAAGAAGATTGAAGGATCTTACTTTTTAATCCAACTAGACAATTTATGTCACCTAATTGGAGAGTTAAGTCCATTAATATTGAGAGTCCATTAATATTGAGAGGCATTTTGGAGTTCCTGCCATGTTATGCACCTTCTTGGGAGCTATGACAACTGGGTTCTTCATTTTGGATTCTCAGTTTGGGTGCAGTTTCTTGGCCTTTATTGTGGTCTTGTTGGTTTTCTATGTGTAGGACATCTTTAAGTATCTTTTGTAGGGCTGGTTTGGTGGAGATATATTGTTTCAGTTTTTCTATGTTATTGAAGGTTGTTATTTGACCAGTTATGAAGGAGAGTTTAGCTGGGTACAGTATTCTTTGTTGATAGTTGTTTGTCTTTAGGGCATGGCATACATCATTCCAGGCTCTTCTTGCTTTAATTGTCTCTGCTGAGAAATCTGAGGTGATTCTAATTGGTTTCCTTTATAGGTGATTGATCTTTTCTCCTTGACAGCTTTATGGATCCTTTCCTTGGTCTGAATTGATCCTGTGAGGATTATAATGTGACAGTGGGATGTCCTGTTCTGGTCTTGTCTATTTGGGGTTATAAAAGCTTCTTGTATCTGAATAGGCCTATCTTTTTACATGTTTGGGAAATTCTCTGCTCAGATCCTGTTAAATAAATTTCCTAGACTATTAACTTCTGTCTCTAGTTGCTCCTCTACACCCATATCCTCTTCTGATGGTGCCTCCTAAATGTTGAAAAAGCTATCATATTTCTTGATTTCTCTTGGATAGTTGTTTGTTCTCTTTCTATAATATCTAGGCTGTCTTCAATCCCAGAGATTCGATCTTCTTCATGTCTGGACTTTCTACTTTGATTATTATTTCCTTTCCTTCTAATTGGTCGGCTTTGATGGCTTCAAATTCTTTGTTGCAGTTTTGTTTTAGATCTTATTTGGACTTCTTTACTTCCTTAATTTGGTGTTCAGTGTTTATTCACCAATCCCTTAGTTGATTGGTTATGGTTTCATTGGATTCCCTTTCCTTCTGATGGGCTCCATTCAGCATTCCCTTTGTGATCTCCCTGGATTCCTGCAGCTGTCTGTTTATAGATTCCATAAATACCTCTATTGATCTTTGTCTGTTCTCATCCAGCTCATGCAATTCCTGTATTACTCTTTGATTAGCTTCCTCACACTCATGCAATTCCTGTATTTCTCTTTTACTGTTCCCAGCCTGCTCACCTAATTCCTGTATTACTCTTTGACTATTCTCAGCCAGCTTGCCTGCTCATGCAATTCCTGTATTAATCATTTATTTAGCTTCCTCATGCTCAGGAGATTCCTGTATTAATTTTTAGTTAGCCCCATCATGCTCACAAAGTTCCTGTATTAAACTTTGATTTGCCTCTTTTCACTCCCTATCATGCTCACAATGAGTCCTTTGCAGGTTGTCAATCTTTTCCTTCACCATGTTTACCAGTAGTGTTTGTTGAACTTTTTGGGAACACTCCTCTGGATTACTCCTTAACTGATCTGTCACCTGATTATCATGAGTGAGAGTTGAGATACCTGGACTTTCCATTTTTCTTGTGTTTCTCTGCCCATTTGGTATGAAAGTAACACCAACTTTGCACTAGAACACTATTTTAAGGTGAGAATCAACCAAAGTCCTGTAGTTGCACAGTCAAAATGGCTGCAGATACAATGTAGTTCAACAGATACAATCTATTCAACATCAAACAACTATGGATTAAAGGGCTAAGAACATCAAAGAGAAATTCAGCAGACCAGAAATTAATAGGTTTAGGGAGAATTGTAGGGAAAAATAGGATTAGAGGGATGTGGAGAGGTAAAAGGTAAGAATGAATTTAACCAAGTCCAAATCTCAGGTAGAAAAGGTATAGAACAGAATGAAAGGAGAGAGATAAAGAAACAAGAAAAAATGAAAAAAACAAAAATTTAAATTAAAAAATGAAACATTTAAAAATTATGTATGTATAAAGATGTAATACTGATAGAAGAAAAGAATAAGATGAGAGGAGGCAAGAGATAAAAAGGAAAAAATGAACAAATTAAAAATTAAAAACTGGAATACTTAAAAATTATATAGTATAATATATATATATATATATATATAGTACTATTAAAGAAGTTAAGCTTAAGAGGCTGTGAATTGAGTAATCAATTTCTGAATTAAGTATGTACACAATGAAGGATGATGTTTATATATCTAAGGACAAGCAGAACAGCAATTAAGTCACAATACGCGCGCGTGCACGCGTGCGCACGCGCACACACACACACACACACACACACACACAGACCAAAAGTTTAAAAGAGATTAAAAGAAAACACACACACACACTTAAAGTAAAAATTATGAAAGAAAGAACAAAATAGAAAACAATTTTTTTAAAGATTTTTTAAAAATTAGGTAGAAAATGAGTTATTTGATTTTTTGGGGGGAGGAGGGGGAAGATCTTGTATCTCCCCTGTGTCTGTAACCAGTCTCTTAGTGGAGTCTCTGGTTTGCTTTTGGTGTTTGGTTTTCCTGTGGCTTGATTGGTTTAAGTCAGTTTGTTTGAGCAGGCAGAGAAATGCTCGGCCTTAACCAGGACTTTGTGATTCTTCTCCCCAGTCTAGTTCAGTGGGAGGGAGATTTGCCTTGAGTATCAGAAAAAGAGGGAGGTGGCCGTTTCCTCTAGCTTGGAGTTGCTGTGATGAGGCTGGGTTTTGGGTAGGGTTGAGGCCTGTCAGCAATTAGTAGCTTTTCCCTGAGGGGCTAGCTCCAGAGACACTCACAGAGCCCAGCCTGGAGCCATTCTCAGGATTTATGTTTACTGAGTTTCAATTGTTTGTCTTTTACCCCTCCTGCTATCTAGACTGCCGAGGGAAGGGGCAGCCTCTGGCTCCATTTACCTAGTGGAGAAAGTCACTCTTCAGGGGATGGAGCTACTTCTGCCTGGGCAGGGTGACTTTCCCCTGGGTGGAGCTGAGCCTGGCAGGTCAGGTAAGGTTCCTATGACCTGCTGAATGGCCCCTGTGGCTCTTAATGCTGTGGAGTGTACTCACTCCAGCTTCTTGGTTTCTGGGGTGTCCCTGGTCTCCGATCAACAGGATGAAGATTTCTCCTCCTTGTCAGTTCTTGCTGGTGGTGAGTAGAATCTGCTTGCACACCGCATCTGGTGCCTCGGTCCCAGGCTCTCTGTTGATATGGCAGTTGTGGCAGCAACTGCCACCACCACCACAGACAATGGCAAGTGCTCAGATCTGTCTCCTTGACCAAGCTGCCTGGATTTTTCCTCTCTGGCCAAATTCTCTGTACTGTGATGGCCACATTAGTGTGATTCTCTAGCCTAGGAATGTTCAATGGAACACTAAAACTGCTTTCTATGCAAAAGCTTGTTTAGCCTCCAGCTTCTCCTCTGCCATCTTCCTTGAAGTGCAAGGTTAACCTCTTATAAGTTATTTCGAGCAGTACAAGAAATTATGCCAAAACTATTTAACCTATTTTATGCATACAACTTCTAGATATAGGCAATCTTGTTATTACCTCTATTTTTTCAGGTAAGATTACTAAAATACAAAGTTCTAGACAATTTCACCAAAGATACACCATATAGGGAACAGAGAAAATGTGTGCTTAAATAAATTGAATCTGGAGTTTATATATCTAGCACCATAGGGAAATAGCTACTTTATCTCAGTAAAGAAAACATATCCATGACCAGGCTATATTTACGATTTTGAAAAATTGCATATGTAGAAGATTAAGATAAACATTATGTAAATAAAACTCAGTAGTTCACTTCCAAGCATACCTGTTGACTGCAGTAGAACATGTCAAAGAAGTTGAATAAAATCTCACTGTGAATAGAGGGGCAAGCTGTCTCCTGATTTGCCTGTTATTACTAGGCAGCCTATCATGTCTCCTAATTTCTGTGTATTTCAGGTTCCTCCTATGAAAATGAGAAAATTTGCACTAATTTAGTTTTTATTACATTTTCTTATCTTATATACCTATTTAAAGGGGATACAATTTAACCTGTCAGTTTTTAAGTACAATGCATCTTGATCCATATTACCCTTTTTATCATTATCCCTCATCCAAACCAACCCAAACCCTTCCTACTTTGATAGGATCTGCATGACTATTATGACTGCATTCTTCCCCACTTCCTCTCTTCATTCATCTGCCCTCTCCCTCCATCTTGTCTCCTCACACTTCAGCTACCAGCTTCCCGTATTCATTTTATCTATTCATTGTGAGTTAGTTTGTCTAAGGAGTAAAACCATTTGTTCTCTCCCCTGACTATAGCATAGTTCAGTGAATACATTTGTGTACACTTCCATATAACTCTAAATCAGAATTACTGTTCAGGTACTTTCTCCTTTAACATATTTTGTGTCTATTTAATGAATGTGTACAATTTTATAAGTCACGTTTAAATAAAATACAGTTGCATATTAAAAGTAGATAATCATTGTATGTGACATGCATTTATGTTTTCATTAATTTGTGTTTTTGAGAGATGATAAGTGGCTAATTCTGTTTTGATTAAGGGAAATGTATCCACGAGATATAGTCAAATGGAAGCAATAGAATAAAATATTAGTTTTCTTTACAGCACTGAATCATCATTGTACCCTTCAGAGATCCTTCCCAGTACACATTCTAGCACATACCATGCAGTAGACTCTGCCTATGGTATTTCAATACTGTTTAAAACTCACCCTCACTTTCTGATAAACACTATCCATACTGCCACCTTCTGCCCAAAAGAAGTATTGTTATATAAAATTAAAAACTTTCCAGAGATTACATTGTACGCAAGAGCAGTGGGCATGTTTTGCTAGTGTTGAGGCATAATAGCCAACTTTAGATGAGTTAAAGGCAGTCCTTTGAAAATCATTACATAAGGGATTTTTTTCATTTAAATGTATTTGATGACTCAGGCAAAGAACACTGACAACTTTTTCTTTAAAAAAAGTATTCCTAAAATTACTGTATAAGCCAGGGAGTCGTAAGGGAGCAGGTACTACTCAGAATGCTGTTTTCCAAGATCTTTGCTACAGATATTCTTTTCCATTATGGGTTACATAAACAAGTAGAAAATAAAAGAAGGAAAGAAGAAAATACACACACGCACACAAACACACAGAGTCAGAAACACACAGAGACACAGAGAAAGAGAAGATTGAATTTAGCAAAGCTAGAAGAGGAAAAAGAAAGCAAGAAAGGAAAAACAGGATTGTAGTTATTCTTTAGATCTAGAATGTTGATTGTCTATACATTGACTTATTTGTTTGTTTCCCGTAATTGTCTTTGCTATATAAATTTTAGGATCAGATGCCCAGTGGCAATAGGAACAATAGTATGATAAAATTACTTGGATGTTTATTAACTGTAGAAGCACTTACATACTTTCTATTTAGTGGCTTCCAGTTGACATAACCATCCTTTTTTAATTAGTTTTTAAAAATTAAATAGTTGTACAAATAGGTTACAATTCTTTGTCTGGTTCTGAGTAGAATGTTTTTGATCAGTGCCATACCCTTTTATTCTTTTTAAAGCATTGACATAATAGTACTTAAAATGTCTCTATAATTTTTTGTTTGCTTATTCATTATTTTTTATTTACTTATTTGGTGATACTGGACTTTAGAACATGGAACTTGCTCACCAGCCCCTCTGTCTACCTGAGCCATACTCCCAGCCATTTTTTAAAGTAGTTTTCTAGGTAGAGTCTGCATTTTTGCTGAAGCTGGTCTGAGATTACCATCCTGCCAGGTAACTGGGATCACAAACACGCACTACTGTGCCTAGTTTTCTATTTGAAATAGGATCTTCACCAATTATTTCCCAGGGATGTCCTTAACCCATGATATTTTTCTCTACTTCCTGAGTTATTGGATTACAGGCATGAGCCATTTTTGCTGGCCTAATTCTTTTTTTGACTGTTTCACTATATATTCCAGGCTGATCTTGAATAATTGTGATTCTTCTCCTTCAGTCTCTTAAGTACTATAATTATAGATGCTTGACATTCTTACTCTTCTTAATAACTAGAATGATTCTGTCATCTTATTAATTATTTTACTTTTGTTATCTTTTCCCAAACATTACTTAGTTACTTGAATATTCTTAGTATAGAAAGAAGATGCTGGCAGTTCATTTCAAATAGTAACTTGCCTTCTCTGAATCTTCTCCTTTTGTCATCTAGGGAGGCAATTCTGTCATATAGAAATAAAAATATTTCTTTATATCATGTATAATGCTTTACACAATGCATTCACACATATATCATACATTGTGCAAGATACTTCAAATACACACACTTTTGAGACTCTGGTTATAACTCAGTGGTAAGGTGTTTGCCTGACATACATGAGGGCTTGGATTCAATCCTCAGAACATATATACATGTACGTGTGTATATGTATACATAATCAAAATAAATATATACAAAATTGCATGTAGAGTTAGAGAAATTTTAAAGAAGCAATGACATCAGATTTATTGATGTAAACAGAGGAACAAAAGACAAATTTTGGGGGGGGAGAAAGTAAGTTGGGGTGCTCAGTTCATGAGTGTGGGTATTGTACAGTATAGTGAATTAGACAAGTTGTCTTGGTTTTGTGGGACTTCCTTGACTGGGCTCATTTCTCAACTGTCTTATGTGACAATTGACAATTCTGAAAAATACCCATCAGGTATTCTGCCTGACACCCCTGTTTGGAAGTGGACACCTGGCTTTTTTTTCTGGACTATACTGGTTCAAACAATTTCATGATGAAGAACACAGATGTTTTCTCGTTGCATCATGTGAAGAGTTCATTTGATCACCATCGTTTGACTCTGACCTTGATCACCTGGATATTTCTCTCCATTGTAACCTTACTCTTCACCTCTTTTCTTGTACTATATGTGAGAAGCTGTATTACAATGGCTGCCTTTCATTAACATTTATAATTATTTATGTATTTGAACATATATCTGAACTCTTGTGTTTATCTTCCTTTTTAACTTTCTTTTAAAATTCTGTTCTTGTTTCTATTATTCACCTCACATAGAAGTCGCTAATTATAGTTATTATATAGAATATATTGATACCAGAATAATGGCCAAGGTAAAGCAATGTGAAACAAAATTATATATACAGACAACATTGTCATACAAATTAGCAAATGCCTATTTGTTCTTTCTTAATGTAGCAGATACTATTTGCATTTCTGGTTGAAGATTTGTGTAAAGGAGTTAAGAAGCTAGTATCTACAACAACAACAAAGAAAAACCCCTTGTTTCCAATATCTTGGTGTTCATCTCGATTAGCCTCATTATATGGTCATATATACATAGCTATTGAGCAATTGTGACCCTCTGCTAGAACATATACTAGGCATATACTAATTATTACAAATGAGGGAAAATATGGAGCCTATGTTTCTTTGGGTCTGGTTTACTTCACTTAATATGATTTTTTTCCAATAATTTCCATTTCCTTATGAAATGATTAATGTTGCTATTTCTGATGGAAACATAGGATTCCATTGTGCATATATACCACATTTTTTTGGATCCCTTTAGCTACTGAGGGGCATCTGGGTTAGTTCCATCTGGTAAATAATGATGAATTAATATGGTTGTGCTGATAGCCTTAGTGTGGTCATTTGGGTAAATGCCCAGGAATGCGTTTGCTAGGTCATAGGGGATCTCTCTGTGTAGTCTTTTGAGGAACCTCCAACTGCTTTCCAGAGCAGTTGAACACTATCAACAGTGTAGTAGTATCCCCTTTTGGCCGCATCCCCTTCAGCATCTGTTGATACTAGATTTCTTGATAATGGCCATTAACTGGGGTAAGGTAGAATCTCAATGTTGTTTTGATTTGCATTTCTTTTATGGCCAGAGTTGTTGAACATTTCTTTATGTGTCTATTGGCTATTCTTATTTCCTCTTCCGAGAAGTCTCTCTTTAACTCATTAGCCCACTTGTTAATGGGGTGGTTGTTTCTTTGAGGATTTGTTTTGGTGGGCTTTAAATTTTTGAGCTCTAAGTATATGTTAGATATGAGGCCCTTGTCTGTTGTATGGCTAGTAGAGATCTTCTCCCAATCTATGGGCTTTCTATTTATCTTACTAGTCATGTCCTTTGCCTTGCAGAAGCAAGCTCTGCAGTTTAACACAATCCAATTTATTCAAACTTTCTTTGATTTGTTGTATTTCTGGGTCTTTATTAAGAAAAGTTTGACCGGTAACAAGGAACCCCAGTATTTCTCCTATTCCTTTCTATAATATTTTCAGGGCATCTGCTTTTACCTCAAGATCTTTGACTCATTTAGAATTGATTCTTGTGCAGGATGATATATAAGGATATAGCTTTAGATTTTTACACATGTTTAGCCAGTTCTTCCAGAACTATTTTCTGAACAATGTTTTTCTTCCATCCTAGTTTTTCTTTTTTTTCTCTCTCTCTTATCAGAGATTAGGTGCAATAGATCTGTGGGTTCATTTCTGGGTCTTCAGTTCTATTATTCCATTGGTCCTCAGGCCTGTTCTTATACCAGTATCAAGCTTTTTTTTTTCTTTTCTTTTTAATACTGTGGCTTTGTACTAGAGTTGGAAGTTTGGTATTGGTATTCTTTCAGCACTGTTCTTCCTGCAAAGAATTATTTTTGCTATTTGGGGTCTTTTATTATTCCATAGGAATTTTTAGATTGTTTCTTCTATTTCATTCAAGGATGATGTTGGGATATTGGAGAGTATTGCATTGAATTTGTAGATAGCCTTTGGAAGTATTATCATTTTCACAATCCAGTAGCATGGGAGTTTTTCTACTTCCTTAGATTTGCTTTAGTTTTGTTTCTCAGGTTTTTAAATTTTTCATTTGCTTTTTTGGTTAATTCCTAGGTATTTTAATTTTTTAAAGCAATTACAAAAGGGGTTGCTTTCCTGATTTCAACCTCACTCTTCTCATTGTTGGCATACAGAAAAGCCAGTAATTTTTATCCATTAATTTTATACCCTGCTATTTTGCCAAAGTTTTGGATCAACTGGAATAACTTGGTGGTAGAATCTGTAGAGTTTTTAAATACAAGATCATGTCATCTCAAAGAAGGAGAGTTTTACTTCATCTTTCCCTATTTGAATTCCCTTTATGTTAGCTTCTTGCCTTATTGCTCTCGTTAGGAATTGCAGTACTATATTGAAGAGGAGTAGAGTGGACATCCTTGTCTCATTCCCATATTTGGTGGAAATGGCTTTAACTTTTTGCCATTAAGTATAATACTGGCTGTAGGTATGTCATACACAGCCTTTATTATATTGAGGAATGGTCCATGGACTCCTAGTTTCTCCAGAGCTTTCATCATAAATGGATGTTTGATCTTGTCAAATGCTTTTTCTGCATCTATTGTGATGATCCATATGGTTCTTGTCCTTGCTCCTATTAATGTGATTAATTAAGTTAATTAGCTTACACATGTTTAACCAGCTTTTCATTCTTGGAATGAGTACTGTTTGATTATAGTGTATATTTATTTTGATGAGTTGTTGAAGTCGATTGGCCAGAATTTTGTAGAGAAGTTTTGCATTAATGTTCACCAAAGAAATGGTGAACACCAAAGAATGATGGTGAACATCATTCTTTGATGAGTTCTTTTTGGTTCATTTCCCCTCCCCTTGGCTTATCCTCTGTTGTCACTTTATTTGATTTTCATACCCTGTGTCTTATATATATATATATATATATATGTGTATGTATATATTATATATTATAGAATATGATATATTTTATATATAATATATAGTATATTATATTATATGTTTATATATTATGTATTATATTACAGATATTTTAATATAACATATATACTATATATTATATAGCATATTATATATAATATAGAATATATAAATATATATTTATTTGATTTGGGGAAGGGAAGGGGAACAAAAAAATGGTGAGACAAGGACAAAGGATGAACCAGTGCAACAATGATACTCACAAGGCAATATGTTGGAAATGAACTTTACAACTTGTAGGGGGTGGTGATGGGAGGGAACAAAGCAGCAGCAAAACGAGGGGAAGGCATTACAATGTTTGACGAGAAATGTACTCATTAACTTATTATGTAACTGTAACCCTCCTGTACATCACCTTGATAATAAAATTAAATTTAAAAAAAGAAGCCAGTATTGGTAATATGCAAACTGACCATAAGATTGTCTACCTTTTCTCCACCAGTAATGGCAATTAAGCTTAGATTATTGTGTTGAGAATTTTGACGAAGCAAGGCGAATGCTACATAAAGATTGTGATATTGTAAATTTAATACACAGGCTCAGACTGGGAAATTTTCTCATTTTTTTCATGTAAAATAGTAAAAGATAATGTGACCACAGTGGAAATTGATAATAGCTCTTCCAGGAAGGTTTTTCAAACCTCTCAATACTTCCTGTCATTGGCGTTAAGAAAATGGACTAAAATAGATTCACAATCTACAAGCTATTCTATCAGTAACATGTCAGTATTGGGCACTATCTCACTAGCACTTATCCAATTAGCAGGTGGCTTTGGGATAGCTGGTTTTAATTCTTACCTAGGCAGCAGTAGAAGAATTTCTGTTTTTACCCCACATCTGAGGCTTTAAAATGCTTTGCGTTTTTGTTTTGTGTGACATTTTGGGAATATAGCTTAGGTACATGTCAGTTTTCTGCAGAAAATAATGCAGTTCAAGCAAGCTAATGCATATGCAATCGATTCTTTGAGGGCTTTTAATCACACTTTCTTCCTGTAGAGATCAATTGCTAATGAAGGTATCCAATTACTTCCCTCAGAGTGGGAATAGCATTAAGCCAAGAGAGCTTCATGTGGCCACCTGTTTATAACTACATTATTTATGAGAAAATTCCTGTGTGCATCAAATGCTGTTGCAGCAGAGACCGCAGCAGACCTTAGCTCACTGTTTTCACATACACTGCAGTCCAATCTTTGTGTGCACTTGATTTCTGTTCTTACTTTTCCACACAGAAATGTAAGGATACAGCAATATATCTTCCAATTTGAGTTTCAGGAGAATAATAGATATGTTAGAGATCAGATGTCTTACTGATCTCTGAAAAACACGAGTCTTGTCTTAATATGTCCATGCTTACTTTGATCTAAAGATATTTCAGTCAATTGAAATGTCAAATACAGAACTATCATGTTGATAGAACAATTGTAAAATGTTATTCAGCAATTTATTTAGAATTTTAGCATTTATTCAGCAATTTATATTATGATTAAAGGATTGTCTCATTTCACACTGAACTATATATTTTATGGATTCATAATAATAATTTTCTTACAATTCAGTCATTTAGGAATGATGGAGACATTTTTGTTGTATGAAAAGTAAAAGTTACAACAGGGCTAGGAACTACTGCTGGTGATAAGGAGTCATTTATGATGAGATGATACTTTAGACTGCCAGACCATTACTATAAAAGCATTCAAGTTTACATTCCCACCAACAATGAAGTAAGGTTCCTTTCTGTCCACATCCCCTCCAGCATCTGTTGTTGTTAGAGTTCTTGATTTTTGCTGTTCTAACTGGAGTGAGGTGATATCTCAATGTTGTTTTGATTTGCATTTCTTTTATGGCTAGGGATGTTGAACATTTCTTCATGTGTCTATTGGCCATCCTTCTTTCTTCTTCAGAGAAGCTTCTCTTTAAGTCTTTTGCCCACTTACTTATTGAGCAGTTGTTTCTTTGAGGATTTGTTGTTGGGTGGTTTAATTTTTTGAGTTCCAAGTATATTTTAGATATGAGACCCTTGTCCGTTGTATGGCTAGTAAAGATCTTCTCCCAGTCCGTGGGCTTTCTATTGATCTTGCTAGCTATGTCATTTGCCCTGCAGAAGCTCTGCAACCTTATACAATCCCATTTGTCCAACCTTTCTTTGATTTGTTGTGTTTCCGGGTCTCTATTCAGAAAATTTCGGCCTGAGCCAAGGAGACCCAGGGTTTCTCCTATTCCATCCTGTAATGTTTTCAGAGTGTCTGCTTTGAGTTCAAGGTCTTTGATCCATTTGGAGTTGATTCTGGTGCAGGGTGATATATAAGGATCTAGCTTTAGTTTTCTACATGTAGTTAACCAGTTTTGCCAGCACCATTTACTGAATAGGCTGTCTGTCTTCCATTCTATTGTTTTAGCTCCCTTATCGAAGATTAGATGGCTATAGGTCTGTAGGTTCATTTCTGGGTTTTCAATTCTATTCCATTGGTCCTGAGGTCTGTTCTTATGCCAATACCAAGCTGTTTTGATTACTATGGCTTTATAGTAGAGTTTGAAATTTGGTATTGATATTCCTCCAGCAGTGTTCTTTCCGTTGAGGAGCGTTTTTGCTATTCGGGGTCTTTTATTGTTCCATATGAATTTTTGGATTGCCTCTTCTATTTCCTTGAAGAATGAGGGTGGAATTTTGATAGGTATTGCGTTGAATTTGTAGATAGCCTTGGGAAGTATTGCCATTTTCACGATGTTAATCTTTCCAATCCAGGAGCATGGGAGGTTTTGCCATTTTTTAAGTTCTGTGTTGATTTCCTTTTTCAAGATTTTAAAGTTTTCATCATAGAGGTCCTTCACTTCTTTAGTTAAGTTAATTCCTAGGTATTTTATTTTTTGTGGGGCTATTACAAATGGAGTTGCTTTCCTAATTTCAGCCACTTTGGAAAGCAGTATGGAGGTTCCTCAAAAGACTCCACATAGAGCTCCCCAACGACCCA